CTCTCTCTCTCTCTCTCTCTCTCTCTCTCTCTCTCTCTCTCTCTCTCTCTCTCTCTCTCTCTCTCTCTCTCTCTCTCTCTCTCTCGCTCGCTCGCCCGCTCGCCTTCCTTTTTGAACTGATAGTCATCGCTCTTGGAGAGTCTTCTCCCCGTACCGGTGACGTCAACCGCCTGCGTCCGCGCGGACGGTCGACGCCCCCGCAAGGGGAGAAAGCTTAAAGTTCATCATCTTTCCTCAACGCACCCACTTTTGAGAGAGAAGAATTGCGTCGATTGTTGTATGGATTCGGTGTTGGTTCGGATGACCGGGAACGCGGGATCTTGCCCGTGTTCATCGCGTACCTCCGACCGTCTCATCTCGCTACCGACCTTCCCCATCACAGATGACAACAGCGTCTACTGCGATGCGGACGTACAGCGCGCGCTGAGGCGGACGRAGCAAGTGTGTTGGCAAGACCCGCCTCGGGCGTGTGATATAAGGGGGAATGGGCTTGTCCTGATTGATCGTTTTGATTCCCCGACTCTAATATTGCCTTACACGGGTTTAACGGTGTTGCCTTGGTCGGCCGCTCACGCCGCGTGGCGGCCGCAGTTTGATTGTCGCTGGTGTCACCAGGGGGACTCGCGTTCTTGGCGACGGCTGGTCCTGGGTTAGGAGGGAGCGACACGTTTCCCCGAGCTTTCCCTTAGTGCGGGGGCGCTGCCCGCGCAATTTCGAATTCAGATGCCGACGAGTCCTCCCGCCGCTTTACCCTCCCGGAAACTTTCGTGCGGACTCTGTGAGTCCGACGCCGAGGCTTGAAGGCCTCGAACCAACCACCTCCACAGCAAAGACCAGAGGGTTCAGCCACTTTGTGAGGCCGATGATAAGGCCTGAAAGCTTCGAACCCGCCACCTATTCCCCAAACCCCTGACGACTGAAGTTTTGTCCTCCTCCGCCATGCCCCCCCCCCCCCCCCCCCCCCCCCCCCCTGATGCCTTTTTCCGTGCCGATGCATGACGGCAGTTCATTTTTGCGGAACCCTTTTTGATTTTATCGTTTCGGATTGATCTGACCCCCACGGGACTCCGCGACGACAGTTCGACTCCGGGGAAAACATCTGGCACGAAACGAGGGCCTCCCGTTCCGTCCGGGAGACTCAACCCTTACGGCCAAAAATCCTCGGCCACACCCCTCCTAGAACTCTGATTGGCGACCCCGTACGGGAAGCCGCGAGGGGGCGTGAGGTTGCATATCACATGCTAGATAGGTCCTCTGCAGAAAGAAGAGGCATTGCAGAACCGTGGTGCAAACTCTGCAAATTTGCGTTCCCAAGTGGAAAAATACCTGAAACAATCGAACACATGTTTCTTGAATGCCCTGGCTCCATCTGGCTATGGCGCTGGTGGGATAGGATTTGGACTCAACTAGAATCTATACACGTCTGGCAGTGGGATTGGAAAACACTTTTGCTTGACCATTGGTCGCCAGAACCAAACGACAACTTCACACAAAACTTATTCACTCTGGGGAGAAGGGCGGTCTTATGGGCTATTTGGCAAAGAAGGAATACCAATGAATGGGAAGAAGTCAGATTAGATGGCCCAAAATTCACCGACAGTATTAAGCAGCAAATTCAAACTCATATACAGGATAAGTGGACTGATCTAAAAGAAAAAATTCAGTTCAACTCATCAAAAACAAAAATTACCCAAGCTCTTCAGAATTTCAGCAGCAACTGGCTGGGGGGTGGGATGGGGGAAATATTGGGAGGGTGGAGTGGGAGGATGCAGAACCGGAGAATGAAAAAGTTATTGTCAGAAACTACAGACTTCAATTCAACGATTGGACCACAGTGAACCCTTCAATTCCCCTTCGCCCAGCCCAAGAGTTTCCAAGTCTGTTCACTGTTCCAAATAATGCTCCGGTTCCAATCTCTTGGTATAGCAAGGACTCTTTTGTATGATGCTTCACTCCCGGTCTTATCAAGGGAATCCAGTAAGCTTTTTTCTCCCTTGCCCGCGACCAAATTCTCAACTCAAGTCTGCGAGTTGGAAAGGCTAGAAAAGGAAGAAAACATTCGGCGCCTTGTTCTGGGTGAAGAGGTCTTTCTCCTTCTCAGCAGGTTTTCCATTTGCAGGTTACAAGCAGTAGGAAATAAATAATGTTAGATTCATGCCAGGGTGGCGTCCGGCCCCCGTTATCTTCTTAAATAGGGAGGGTTGTTGGACCCAGCATTCGGTTCCAAAGGATCACTTCTTTGTAATGATGTACCAAATGGGACGCTGGACCCGGTTTCCAGCAGGTGATGCTCCCCACCAATAGACGGAGTCCCACTGGAGGTGCTAGGTGTGTCTGCTCGTACCAGCACACCTAGCACCCCCCGGTTTCAAAAAAAAAAAGAAAAAAAAAGGACCGTATTATGACCTCACAATTCAACCCGGTGTTATCTCGGCAGCCTCAGCCGATTTAGCTTAAGAGTACCATCTAATTCTCTCCGACCTACTCACAAGCAAAAACCAATCAACCTTCTGTCAACCGTGTCCGAACAAGGTCCAGTGTTTTATCCCACTAACTTCCTAACTTTAGTCCAGTCCAACCCCGCGAACCACCAACTCACTTACCTATCCTAATATGTCTCAGGCTACCTTCCTACCCTAACCTAATTCTTCCCCGTTCCCTAACCTTCTCGGGAGGCCTTTCCCAACCTTATACCGGCCTACCGCGGTCGGTTGGAACTAACCAGTTCCTAGTAACCTTGACAATCTACCACCAGCCAACCCCAAAATGACCTCCCGCGGTCTGAACAGGGACACGGCCCCGAACCGAGTGTCCTGGTTTGGGAAAGTCTACTTACTTACTATTGCCCATGCTCTAGCCTTCTGCTCTGAACCCATTGGAAACAGGCGAGTCTGTCTATCCTCCAGAAGCCTGTTGGCTTTCGTTGGGCGTCTCTATCCTACTTGTCCCCGAACTCCAGCCACCTACTGATAACCAGGCTCCCATCCATGGAGATAGAGGTCAGCCGGTCACTGAGAGCCAAGTATTCCGGAACGAGGCAGTCCCTTCTCGATGCTTTCCCTGCTTTGCCTTTCTCGTCGAGTCCGCCCAGATAGCCTTGACCACCAGCGATCTGAACAGAGCCTCCGCCTGGCACTCCGGTATCCCCTCCCCCTTGAACCTCGATCCATTCCTGTCTAACCAAATGACCCATAACATCGCTGCCCTGGCAACTTGTGCCGTGTAGCCCCACCCTTCCCCGCTGCTCAGATTCTGTGGGATCCCTCCCAGTAGAGCCCATCTCTGATCAGTGAGCAAGTCATCACCTGTTATCCACCGCCAGTACCTCACCCACCAGCCCCACCATTTTTTGGACTTCGGGGATTCCCACCAAAGGTGGCTCATGGTCTCTTGCGCCACCTGACATCTATCACAAGTGGAGGTAACCTCCATTCCTCTCTCCTTTAGCCACGGCGTCGTTGAAACGGACAGGTGGGACTGAAGCCACAGCAGAGAGGCCAACTTCTGAGATGGAGGTGTTTTCAATTGTGCCCACACTCTGGAAAGTTCCACGTCCGAAGGAGGGGCGAGCTCAGGCACCTCCCTCGTCTAACGTTCTGCTATTTTAGTGCACAGTGGGACCGACAAAGCTCTTTTTTTCAAGAGCAGGGATGTAGAAAGCTTCTCCAACCCTCTGATTACCTCACCTTCCACATGCCAGCCCCAACTTGCAAGATCAATCTTCAGTTGGCTAAGCGGAGTCCCATTGCCCACCAAATATGGGACAGGGGGTAGACCCTCCTGCGGAGGGGGTTTCATCATCACCCTGACCTCCTTGAGGCCCGAAAGGTCGTATTTCAGCTGAATTCCATATCTCTCTAGCCTGGGCTGATTAGGGAGTTCCCTCCTATATGTTTCAAGCCAGCATTTGCCTATGTCGTCCGTTGTCCAACTCTCCAACCTGCAGTACCAGACTGCATCTCCGTTATCCCATTCGTACCAAGTGCCAGGAGGGTCAACCCCCTTCGGCCCCAGCAAATGCTTCCACTCCTCTGGGATGGCCTCCAAAATGGCTTGCAGCCACTCTTCCTGCTGTGGCAGCTGACCTAAACGTTCTTCAGCTGTACTTGTGTTTTCCAGCCGCCGCAGGATTCATCCCATAAGTCTCCTACTTTCGAGATGCCTTTCTGAAGCCATCTTTGGCCAAACGAGCCAGATTCCCGGCCAAGTGTAAACCATCTACCGTCTCGTCCTCTGATGTATCCTCCTTGGAGATCGGGCCGGTATTCAAGGAGGGTTTACATTTCTTCCAGGCTTGCAGAACCTCGCTCCAAAAACGTGATTTTGGGTGCTTCCGTGCATATGTGTCTGACATTAGCGCCACCCATACATCTGATGGCCAGGACAGTTTCCACTCATTCGCCAATAACGCTTCTGCCATCAAGATCCAGTCTGCTTGCTCCTCTGCCGTTCCTACCCGAATCACCCACTTGGCTAAGAGTGTCGTGTTCTGAGCTCCTGGATCGATCAAGGATAGTCCTCCTTCTTTTCTCAGAGTACATATGGTCTCGCATGCCACTTTGGGAATGAATCCACAGTCTGGATCACCTTCTGGTTTCCATAAAAACCTTCTGGCCACTTTCTTCACTGAGTTGAGAGTGGAGGGGGTGATTCTTCTAACTGCTGCCACATATGACAGGAGTGTAAAAGTTGAGACTGTAATAGTTAGCCAGCGTCCTCCCAATAAAAGACAAATGTTGGGCTTTCCCCCAGCTCTTGATCCTTTTGGTAACCTTCTCCTGTAGGATTACTTCCTGAGAAGAAGTGCAGTCACCTAGCGCCACATGCACCCCCAAGAAGCGTTTCGCAGCATCGGATTCAACACGTGTCATCCCCCACTGTACCACCATTGGGCGGGATTTGGGAAGGAAAAACACCGATTTATTCCATTTTATCACGGTTTCAGACAGTTCTGCAAAGTCTGTTAGACATTTCTTCAGTGCTGCTAACGAGCAGGCTTCATTCGCTGAGATGGCGAAAATGTCATCTGCGAGGACCTTGACTCGGCTTTCTCTCCCTCCCGGTAGGCACAGTCTCACAATCTTCGGATGCTTCCGAATGTTGCAGAGAAGCGGTTCCAGGTGAAGGACGAACAGCAACGGAGCCAACAGGCACCCGTGGCGCATTGAGCGACTAAGTTGAAATTCTTCGGAGATTCTTCCGTTTACACAAACTGCTGTGGAGGAGAAGGCATACAGAGTTATTAGTAACTTATTACCCATTGACAAAAGGCTTCCCCGAATCCCCACCAACGCAGGGTGGTTAGGACAAATGTCCAATTCACTTTGTCTTAGGCTTTCTCAAGATCCAGCAGCAGAACTGCAGTGTTGCTTTCCTCCTTCTCAATCAGTTTTAGAGCCTCTATGGCGATCACCACATTCTCGAAAATTGACCGACCCAGCACGAAAGCGCCCTGATCCCGGTGGACAATGCATGGCAGATAATTTGCAAGCCTGTTGGCCAGTGTTTTAGCCAAGATCTTGTAGACAACGTTTAAGAGGGAGATCGGCCGCCAGTTTCGAACCTCGTTCCGCTCTCCCTTCTTGAAGAGCAGCGAGATTATACCTCTTGTCATTGACTTTCCCAACCGTCCTCCAGCCTGTATAGCGTTATACATCTCCACCAAGTCGGCCTTTAGGGCTTCTCCACAGCTTTCAAAGAATTCCACAGGCAACCCATCATCCCCCGGCGCCTTTCCCCGAGCCATACAGCGTAGTGTGGCGCCCAGTTCCTCCTCCGTTACCGGCCTGTCCAACCAGATCCTTGCTTCTTCTGAGACGCGTATTGTCAAATTATTCCACAGAGCCGAGCCTTCCGCCATATTGTCGTCCACATTGTCGTATGGTCGTCTTGTCATCATGATGTCCTGGAAATAGTCCTTTGCATAGCTACACATCTCCTCATTGGTGGTTGCCAAAGGCCTTCCCAGCTGGTGCGGGTGCCTCAACTCTTTCATCTGAACTGACTTGTTCTTTGGCAGCAGCTTTCTGAATGTTTCCTTTGTCACTCGATAGGAAATGATGATGCCCTTGGTCTCCAGGATCTTGATCCACCTCTCTTGCTCTCGAATTTGCCACCCGCCCCATTCCTGAAGCCTATCCTTTCGCTCTTCTGCCCATAAAAGGTCCGATACTGGGTGCAGTCCCATCATTTTCTCCGCTTCTTCTACTCTGGCTTTCAGCTCTGCCTCCTCCTTGTTCCGTTGGAATGCTGTGATCTGTGAGGAGTCCAACTTCAGTGAGATTACCCTCAGTCCCGCATCTACCCAGTCTACTACCGTCTCGCTGTGAGGTTTGATCAGTTGCCATTCCTGCTCGTGATCCATCCTACCACCCCTTCATCATTCAGGAGTTCGGTATTCAACCGAAAGTAGCCTGGGCCTTTTTCTATGATCGCAGAGAGAGCACACGTCATTACTACCGCCTTATGGCCTTGCTAATCTTTGTTCTCTGTATCATTCCGATTTTAACGGATGTCCCGAAGGACAAATCCACAAATCAAGCTTTTTATTATTTCGCACTTTTTTTGCTTTGTTGTGTTTCTCTTTGTGTCTGTTCTTTTGGCTCTTTTTTTTTTTTTCTTTTTTTCTTTGGCTTCCTTTTTTTTTTTTTCTTTTTTTTTGGTTGTTGTTGTTGAAGATACGTTAGACGGGGCTCGCCTACGTAGCCCATGTCTGTCGTAGGGGCACCACCCGAAATGGATGACTCCAATGTCATTCGCAGGGAGCAGCACGTGCCGGGGAACCGGGCCCAGAGTCCGTATGTTACATCAGCATGGGTGAAAGTTACCCCCTCGTCCTGACCGTGGACCAGACCCTCCCTTTCTACATCCTTGCCCATTACCATCTACCCCGAACACAACGCACCCTTATTTTGGCTGTATCTGGCCGGATATATAGCTTGTATACATTCATTTTTAGGGTGCGTTATGTTCGGGGGAAGACGGTAGTAACGTGTTCCCAGGAACACAATGGAAGCTGATTACGGCTGTAGCGAACTGGAAATTTAGCTTGTAGACATTCATTTTTAGGGTGCGTTATGTTCGGGGGGGGGAAGACGATTAGGCCCATTATCAAGCCACAATTTTAGGAAATTTTCCCAGCGTCCATTGTGTTCTGGCCTGGCACCAGTCCCAGATGGGCCATTGCCTTGCTGTTTGCACCAGTCTATCTAATGGTGTCGATATAGCATCTCCTGGGAGCCTGGCTGGTCCAGCATTCCATAAAATACCAATAGAAAAGTGCATGCATGCCACCTCTCACGGTCATCATATTCTGGCTGTTACTGGTTTTTTTTTTTTTTTTTTTTTTTTTTTTTTTTTTTTTTTTTTTTTTTTTTTTTTTTTTTTTTTCCTTTTTTTCTTTTTGGTCTGTTACTGACTTCAACCACCAGTACTTCCTAAGCTTGTGCCCATTATCAAGCCACAATTTTAGGAAATGTACGGGCCACTACAAGAGCGCCCAAATTCATCCAACTAGAAACGTTTCTACTCTTTTTTTTTTCGGCGGCTGATAGCTGGGCCAAGTACTGGTGGTTTAATAGTAACTACGTTACTCGGCACGCCTGCTGGGCATGCACGCGTGTGCATCACCTAAATGCCCAAGCTGTGCAGGGTACCCGGGTATGCAAAGAATCCCACATTTGGGCCTCCCTCCACTATACAACATTCTATATGCATTTGCACGCTTTCGGGACCAGGCGTCTGCGGACAAGTCGAACATTTTCAATGGATCGGGTCCAGAAGGCGTTTCAAATGCATGTAGAGTGTCATGTAGTGGAGGGAGGCCCTTTATTATTACTTAATTTTTGTTTTAGCTGGTGGGGCTATTCTTGCCCCAACCAAGTTCTCCCGGAAGGTGGGCCATCTTTGTTTTTTGAAGTGCGTCACAAAATTCAAAATGTTTGGAATTTCAGGCCGTTGTCGCGGGTCGTGGCATTGATGCACTCGAAAATCTAATACATAGAACTGTTGCTAAAGGACAAAGGTTCGTGAGTTATGGCCATCCAAATAATGCCGCCATCATACTTGGATGATGCGAGCTCAGTCTGGCTATACTTGCATAGTACCAGCCAGTACTTGGAAACCACCAGTACTTGCCCCAGGTTTGGGCCGCGGGAAGAAAATAGAGTAGAAACATTTCTAGTCGATGAATTTGGGCACTCCTGTAGTGGCCCGTGCATTTCCGAAAATTGTGGTTGTTAACGGGCACAACTTCAGGAAATAGTGGTGGTTTAAACTACCACTCCAGAGTCTGCTTAGTAAATCACCATCATCATCAATGAGAGAGGCTCGAAGAGGGGGTGGGCAATTTGAATCATCACCATCATCTTTATGATTTGTTAAACCACCAGCACATTTCCCAGCCATGTTTTCAAAGTGGCATGTTGGATGTTGCGGCAACTTTCGGGACTTTCGGGACTCAGCCACCAGAGGAAAAAAATGGCAGGCGGCACCAGCAAAAAGGAATCCCATGCCGGTTCGCTGTCTTTTGGTGCACATCGCATTTCCAGCCGCGGAGAAAAGTGTCTCAGAAGTGCCGGTGGCTTAAAGTTTTCCTCGCGCCTTGCAATCTTCTCCCTTCACTCACCTCCTCATCTTTCATATCTGTCTTTCTTCTCCAAGCTTCCTTTCTTCTTCCTTCTCCTCCACTCACCTCCTCATCATCGCCGTTATCATCGTTATGATTGAACCAGGGTCTTGCCGAGAGTTGATGTAGCTCAGTGGTTAGAGCACCGGTTGGAAATGCGCATTGTGGTATGAGGTTGCGGGTTCAAAACTCAAGTGCAGCCTTGTGCATGGACACCAGCAGGGCGTTAGAATGACGCACGGCTGGACACACATTCCCTTGGGCTGGCTCACAGTAAGCTTATACAGACACTGCCTGCGCACCACCCAAGGGGGGGTTGTCCATGGTGTTGTATGTGCGGTCTTGATACTGCCTGGGTTGATTGTGGCTGTAGCTAGTGGTTGTTCTGTTGATCTCCCCAGTCTGGCATATCACACACAGGGGCCGTTTGCGATTGTTGCACAAATGGTAGAGTCTTCAGGTCACATGTCATAGATCACGGGTTCGAGTGTGGCTTGGGAGTTCGAGGGGGTTCTTGTTCAGCTTGGCCTGTCATCTCTTCAAAAACGAACACATAGTTCCCTCTACATAGTACTGCACATATCCGGCCTTCAGGCACATACATCTCGCTATACAGTTACACGGAGCACACATAGCCGTCGGGCAGATACAAAACACATGGCCCTATGGGCTCATACAAACATACATAGCCTCTGGGCACATACACATACACACAACTACGATACTGGGCTGGGGGGGTCTATCAGGTATATGACGGGGTCTACTCACGCATGGCTTAGCTCTAGGGTAGGGTAGGGATATAAGTCGCTCCGGCTAGTCTGAGTTCCGCCTAGCCTTGGGTAAGCTAGGGGAAGGACGCTAGGGTGTGTCCGTGGGCGCTGGCCTGCCTTGCTTAGGCAATCCTGCTGGATAGACTCTCTGAATTTGGCCTGTAGAAGATTGCATGAGCCTGGCGTCTGAAGTTCCCGTACGGCAAGGTTCATCCGCTTCCGCTTCCATCAGGGCTGGGAGGTTGGCCCAGCCTTGGTGCTTGTCACTGCTGTCTGGTCCACGTTGCCCTCGATACTTACTGGTAGGGTGATGGTCCTGAGTGCTGGTCACACTGAGGTAGGATAGTAGGGACAGGGGGTGCGCTAGGAGTATTAACTGGGGAAGGGTAGGGTAGGTGGCCTATCCTGTCAGGACAACCATTGGCTGCCGCTACCAGCAATCACCGCGGTTCTGGTCCTTGGCCTCTACAACACCCTGGGCTTTAAAATAAAAATTAAAAAAAAAAAGGAAAAAAGAAGAAAGAAAGAATGTGAGAGAATGGTGATGATGAGGGGTGGGGCAGGACGGCTGGTCAACCATGGAGGTGACACCACACTGCACACTACACAGTCTCACACTGCACAGCGTATTGCTCTCAAGATTCCCAAAATGGAAATGAAGCATGAAGAACTCCAAGACTGAAAAAAAAAAAAAAAAAAAAAAAAAAAAAAAAAAAGAATGACGAAGCAGATTGCAAGGTGGGGTATACCCCCAGCGGACTGACTAGACTGGACTGCAAGGGTACTGAAGGTGGTACCACACTAAATAGACAGACGGCCTGTGAGATCAAGCCGATGGCCTGGTCCAAACAGGCTGAACAGGCTCGTGGCGAAATAGGCCCTGGCTATAGGTCAGGGAAAGGAGTACTGCTGCAATGATCATCGTACATAGTTAAGCGTCATCATATGCATCCTCTGCTCCGCCTTCATCTTCGGCCATTGGGAAATTCAAGCGTCCTCTGCACTCCCGCGTTGTCCTCATGACCATCCAGATCATTGTCACTGTCATCAATATGATTGACACATCAAATATCCTCAGTGAGTGAGTGAGAGAGAAAGAGAGGAATGGAGGATTAGTGGAGGAGGAAGCGGGAGTGATACAGACACACCCTACATGGTTGATAAAGCAGGTTGCACCTGCACAACTAATCGTCAGTATCAACGACAAATTATCATGATGATTATCATTCGACAACAACATTCATCATCAGCAGCATAGTGAACAGCTTTGAGCATTTATGGAGGGTGGTAGTACAGACACCCTCTAGATTGTGTGTAAGGCATGGTGCATCTGCAGATTCTGTACCATGAATTTCCCTTGTCAATGTTGTCATCAGCAGCAGTCATCAGAATCGGCGTCATCATCAACAATGACAACAGCCGTGGATATACCCGAAATTTCTTTTGAAGGTGCCTGGCGGTGCGCGGACCATGCAGAACCACCAGGCTCCCTACTGGGTCTGAAAAGGCCTAAGGCCACCTGGGACCCGACCTGGTGACCCAGTCAGCTGCGTGGGTGGCGACCTTCTGGGTGGATGCAGACGACTCTTGCGCCAGAAAAAGAACCCACTGTAGTAATATGAAGCCACACCAAGCAGAGAGAGAGAGAGAGAGAGAGAGAGAGAGAGAGAGAGAGAGAGAGAGAGAGAGAGAGAGAGAGAGAGAGAGAGAG